ACGTAAGCCTCGCCCTTGGGGTGTTTTGCCAGTAGTTGTCACGCTTGGCAAGTTTTAACAGTCCACTGCTGAACATAAGCCTCCCCTAAGGGGTTTTGCTAGTAGTTACCACGCTTGGCAAGCGGACTGGCAACCGCAGTTAAGCTTTTTAGATGTTTTATAAGGGACGCTGCTGCCCATCCCTCGCCCTCCCTTAGTCCGCTTTTACTACACTCACAGGGAAGGAACGAATGATGCCGGGACCATCTAGCGTTTTCAATCGACTCAGCTTCTAGTAATTTAGCATCACAATATTCTGTCAGGCCACAAACTGTGAATAACGTTGCACGTCATTACAATGCTATTATTTATCGTTGACTAATTTCAAAGAGGCCTAGAAAAGAAGTGGATCACGGTCACCTACTCATGACGATGTGTTCCTATTATCTTCAAACTAAGTGCTTCTAGGGATGGGCAGTAATGTATGCATAATAAAATACTATAGTTGACGTGTTTTTGTGGTTAGTACAAGTAGATGCTTGTGATGGAGTTACGTTTTAAATTAAAATGTTAAGTCATTCGGTACAGTTAAAGTGTGTATTTAGAATTTTCTTCAACAGGACGATTGGATAATTATATTAACTGTGGTTAAGGGAGACTTTGTACACAAGTCGATTGCTTGGGTACCTCTGTACCATTCGTGTTTCAACCGTAAAGTAGTTGTGTTTGCATGGCTCTGTTTCGGTTTGAAGGGTAGGATATGGCGTGAATTTACAGGGTATAGAGGAATAACACCTGAGTCCTCAGGAATGGCAACGCATGGGCGGGATCATGGGCGAAACAGTATACTCTGTTATGTCCATGGTACTGCTCATGTCTATAGGCGACGGTTACCACTTTCCATCAGGTGGGCCGTCAGCTTGTTTGCCATTCTAAGTTGTATAAAAAAAAAAAAAACTGAGAAATGATTTATTATTATTAGATAATTATAAATAATATTATTATTATTATTAGATAATTTTATTTATATGTATTTATATTTATTTAAATGCCATGTATAGTTGTAACAATATAAAATGGACAAGTTGTACATAAGGCATCCTGTAGGGGCACACTAATTTTCAATAGAGAGAACTAGTCGCTTTTTCTCATCACCAGCATCGTACAAGGCATTCATTCTCGACTGCTAAACATAGGTTTCACTCTACAGGAGGTTTTGCCAGTAGTTGCCACGCTTGGCAGGAGGGCTAGCAACCGCAGTTAGGTTTTAGTGTTGTTTTAAGAGGGTCAGCTGTCCATTCCTAGAGTTTAAGTTCCCATTGTCGCCTCTTACGACATCCACGGGAAAGAAAAGAGTGGTGCATTCTATTTGGGGAGCACAAGGCGATTATAATAATTTAATTAATACTAATTAATTACATAATTTCCGCTTGTACAACGGATTGTGCTTAGAGAAATTATTCAATATGATGCCCACGACCACTTTCTATCATCGTACAGGTCGCCGTCGACAGGGAGTTCACCCTCATACCCTACAGCCTTAATGGTCGCGTACAACGCGGTTTCAGAGATGTTTTCTCCCACGAACACTTAGGTTATGGTATGAGCTCCCTGCCGCGGTTTTCCCATGAGACTACAGCTTGGGGTTCTTCAAAAGGAGCGTAAAGAGGTTTCTTCAGGGTCGGCAACGCGCGCGTAATACCTCTGGTATTGCAGGAGTTCATAGGCTACGGTAACCGCTTACCATCAGATGGACCGTATGCTTGTTTGCCACCTCAGTGGTATAAAAAAATTAACTTATTTTCTTGTAAGTACAATACAATTAATTCCAACACAAGTAGCTAACTTGCCTATTTCCTTATTACGACGACAAAATGAATTTCAGTATCCGTTTAAAGTTAACGAAGATAATTTTAATAAAAAATATTCATACAAAAATCCAGACAATGGCATCATAAAGGCACATCTCCATCAGGTGTGTCCAATGGACCGCCCACCTCGCATTGTGCGTAGCTACGAATTGTTACGCAAGTGTAAAAGGTTCCTTTTAATGCGTAAACAATGCAGTTTTTATATTAGCAAGTGGCTTTAACGTACTGAAGCGTAGAGTTGAACAGCTTTTCAAGTTACATTGACACGTTCGGATTAAAAGTTTTTTACATACAGTTGCAATAATTACACCATTGTTGACTTGACACCATAGTACATAGAAGTGGCAATTCATAAGGGATACCATGGACAGACGCGATACCGTAAACAGCTCTTATGCGTCAATTAAAGTAAATAAAAATAAAAAAAAAAACCTACAGATATCATCCGAAATAATTATAATTATTATACATAAAAGTAAACGTTAAATATTTACTTAGTGTACCAGAGGGAGACTTTGTACAAAAGTCGATTGCTTGGGTACCTCTGTCCCATTCGTGTTTCAACCGTGAAGCAGTTGTGTTTGTATAACTGTGTTTCGGTTTGAAGGGTGGGATATGGCATGAATTTACTGGATACAGAGGAATAACACCTGAGTCCTCAGGAATGGCAACGCATGGGGGGTATCATGGGCGAAACAGTATACTCTATTATGTCCATGGTACTGCTCATGTCTATAGGCGACGGTTACCACTTTCAATCAGGTGGGCCGTCAGCTTGTTTGCCATTCTAAGTAGAATAAAAAAAAATAGTGTTTGTTCACCTAATTACATAAAAAAATATTGTACATCATAAAAAAAACTCAAATTTATGCATCGTGAGTGATTTGACTTATAAACGGTCACCAGTGTACAGATTGGAGCAAGTATCTATTTTGTATTCGTAAATACCTACGAGGGAAAGAGGAAGAGGAAGACCGAGGAATAACTACATGGGACAGATAAAAGAAACACTAGGTGTCATGTCATATAGGGAGATCAAGGATATGGCCTGGGATAGAGCTGGCTGGAAGAAGATGCATGAATTGGTTGCACCGACAAGAGGAAACTCTTAAATGAAAAGAAGAGAATACCTACTAAGCAAACTATCAAAATGAGGATATATTTAGTTTCTTTTTATGATATTGTGTAAATGTTCAAATTATTTTTATGATATTTTAAATTGTTGTTTATTTTGTTTAATCTACATTGACATCAACTCATGTATATTAGCTACCTATCAATATAATTTTCCTACACCCAAACAGGGTTTCATGTACTTACTTTACATAAGAACATTGTAACAACTATATATTATGTACATAAAAAAATCTTCCTACCCTTATCTCAATCATTTGGGGTCGGCGTAATATGATTTTATTCATATTACAAAAAGATATGGTTTTTAGTTTCACGACCGGCCACCTGCCTGACGTCAACCCTCTTTAGGAAATTATATTATGTACATAAATGCATTATAATAATAAATAAATAATAGTTAAAATTATTTTATTAGTAATGCTAATTTCGTTTCAGTTAAAATCACAATTTATACAGAATAAAATGCACATGGTATTTACCAAAAAATCAGTGGGCTTCGCATTTAAAAAGCGATTCGATACACTACCTGTCGATACAGCAGACGTCCCGCGGGCACGTACAATAGTTCACAATAGACCGACCAAAATATTTACCTCTAAATAGCTACTGTGTAACAATTCACACCGTTCTCGCTTTGTCCAGATACACTTGTCCGATGTTATATTTATGATCGCCTTGTACAATTGACTGCTTCGGTAGCAACTTAGCTGTTTCTGAGAATCAATTCGACTCAATAGGGTTGTGAACTTATCTAAAATTTAACATTCCCAGTAAATTCACGCCATATCCCACCCTTCAAACCGAAACACAGCCATGAAAACACAACTCTTTTACAGTTGAAACACGAATGGGACAGAGGTACCGAAGCAATCGACTTTTGTACAAAGCGTGCTAGCAGTGAAAAATTTGATCCAAGACAATAGACGAATTACATACCAAGAGATTCAGCAAATTGGATCAGGAAGCCTTCACGAGATTCTACACGTGCATCTATGGGTGCGAAGGATAGTTTCACGCTGGGTGCCGCACAACCTCATCGATGTTCAGAAACAGGCAAGAGTGGAATAGTGCCTTGATATGATAGACAATTTTGAAGCAGGCTCGTCTCGGCGTGTTTACGACATCGTTACAGGTAAGTGAATCCTGGATTTATCAATACGATCCAGAAACAAAGCGCCAGTCGACGGTTTGGGTGTTTCAAAACGAATTAACGCCTACCAAAGTAAAGCAACCTAGAAGCGGGGGGAAGATTTTGATCGCGAGCTTTTTCAATTTGATTAGCTACTTGGTGTCAATTCCTTTACGAAACGAAAGAAGCATTAACGCCAAATGGTATACTACCAAATGCTTGGCAAAAGTTTTCTCTGTTGTGAGCAACAAGCGACCAAACACAGGGCTCCGCGAGCTACTGCTCCACCACGATAATGCCCGCCCACACCGCAATCAAAACGAGGGACTTCCTAGACAGCACACCGGTCAAACTCCTGGATCACCCTCTTTACAGCCCTGACTAGCCTCCTAGCACCGTGTGACTTCTTCTTATTCCCAAAAATAAAAAATCAGCTCAAAGGGAAACAATTTTCGTCGTTAGATGATGCGCTCTCAGCGTTCGAGCAGGCTGTAAACGAGGTGTCTGCGGTGGACTGAAAAAAGTGTTTCGAAAACTAGTTCAGACGCATGAAACTTTGTACAGAGGCTGGTGGAGAGTACATTGAAAAGATGTAATAAAAATATATTTACCTATAGAACATTTTTTGTTTAGTGTCGCAAAACTTCCTGAGTGTCCAACGTATTGTTGTGTATTGTTTAATAAAATGCAATTTCACATGACAGAGTATATATTTAAATCTAAGACAGTAAAAAATGTCAGAGGTTAATATGTTTTTTAAAAAGAGTATACGATGAGGTTGTAACATTACTCCCCAATGAATATGATTTATATACAATGTTTGTCTGTCTCTACAATGTTTCTTAATCATAAAGTAGTCGTCTCGGAGGGCGTCTGGTACGTACACTACGACGCAATGGTACGGCTGTTTCCTCGGCCGTAGAATATGCCTCTTTAGTAAGTGGTATTGATGTCAATTGTTGCCATTCTTGTGGTAGCTCACAGGGTGATGTTTGTAACGGTGTAATTGGAGCATTTGCTTGAGTTTGCTCTGGAGAAGGTTCCTGAATTTCTGATGTTGGGGCCTGTAATGGAGTCATACTCGCTTGTGAGTCTTGAGATGGTTCTTTAACCATTCCTCCTATTTTGGTACTTTCAGCTTCATCAATTGCTCGAGAACGTATATGATCTGCATGTCTTCGTTTTTCCACACCATCAGGTGTTTGAACTAGGTACGAATAACGGTGAGTACGTAATGTTACAGTAGCAGGATGCCAAGTTGATTCATTTCGCGTGCGTATATAAACTGGGTCACCACTCTTAAATTCTTTTAAAGGCTGATCTCCATGTAAGTTAGTTTGAAGTTGTTTGAAATTTAGTGTTTTTCTTAAATCTGGGCGTAGATTGTCAAATACACAATTTAGTTGATGGCCAAACATTATTTGTGCTGGAGATTTACCTGTTGTAGAATGTGGTGTATTACGATAACTGAACAGGAAATTTCTTAAGCGTTGTTTCAAGTTAGCTCCGTCTTCGTTACTGGCTGATAACCGGGTCTTGAAAGTGCGAACAAGGCGTTCTGCTAATCCGTTGGAGCGAGGATGGTACGGTGATACCCGAATATGTAAGATTCCATACTGCTTGCAATAATTTTCAAACTCATGCGACGTAAATTGTGGACCATTATCAGATACAATAATCTTGGGTAGACCGAAAGTAGTAAATATTCCATCCAGTTTAGCACATAGTTTTACTGTAGTAGTTTTAGTCATTGGTCGTACTTCAATCCATTTTGATAAAGCATCAACAACTACTACCCAATACTTTCCTTCGAAAGGACCTGCGAAATCAATATGAATTCTTTCCCAATTTTTTTCTGGGATAGACCAAGAGTAAATAGGGAGTTCTGGATCATTCGGCCTGTTTTCTTGACATTTATGGCAAAGTTTAATATATCTATCTATATCTTCGTCTATGGAGGGCCACCAGACATAAAATCTAGCCAGAGCTCGCATAGCAGATGTGCCTGGATGGCCGCGGTGGAGGTAGTGTAATACAGCTTTTTGTATCCCTTGTGGAATTACAATTCTTCCGCCCCACATTATAATTTTATTCTCGATGGCAAGTTCTTCACGTTTTCGATAGTAAGGTTTTAGGTGACTATTACATTGATTCTTCCAGCCAAGTTTAATATGATTGGATACTTCCCTTAGGACGGGATCTTTTCCTGTTTCTTCTTTAATCAGTTTCTCTGAAAGTGTTAAATCAATCATTTTTATCGCTTGCAATCGCGTGCCTATTTTATGTACAGTCAGTTCACCTTCAGACGGTATTTGGTCAGGGTTTGGCATTCTTGACAAAAAGTCTGCAAGAATATTGTGTTCTCCCTTTCGATACTCAATGTGATAATTATAACACCCAATTGCTAACGCCCATCTCACCAATCTGTTATTAACAAGTTTAGGCAGATTTCTTTGTGGGCCTAAAAGGTAGATTAAAGGTTTGTGATCAGTAATTAATGTAAAACGGACTCCTCTTAAGAACTGATCAAATTTTTTGATACCAAAGTAGATAGCTAATGCTTCTCGGTCTATTACAGAGTATTTACTTTCTGCAGGTTTTAATTTCCTAGAAGCATATGCGACCGGTTGTTCAATATTGTGTTCTTTGTGGAAAAGAACAGCCCCAAGTCCTTTTTCGGAAGCATCACATGCTAGATAAAGCATTCGTTTATCATCATAAGCTATCAGAGGTCTTGTTTTTGTTATGCAGGTTTTTACCTTTTCAAATGCGGTTTGTAATTCTTTCGTCCATTTCCATTTTTTTCGTGAAGATGTTAAGTCGTGCAAGTCTGAACAAAGTGTATGTAAGTGCGGAATGAATCGCTCGTAAAAGTTGACCATTCCTAAAAAAGATCGTAGTTCTTTAGTATTGTTTGGCGCTGGAGCTTTAGCGATTGCATCAATTTTTGTTTTAGTTGGGCGTACACCACGTGCGTCAATTATGTGTCCAAGATATTCAATTTCGGGTTGGAGAAAACTACATTTTTTTAAGTTAACTTTGAGGCCAGCTTCTAGCAATCTCTTGAGTACTGACGTCAGAGTACTTAGGTGTTCGCTGTCATTTTTTCCTGTTACTGCAATATCATCGAAGTAGACGGCCGTATTCGGGATATTGTCTAGTAGTTTTTCTAAATAATGTTGAAAAATTGATGGTGCTGTTGCAATACCGAAGGGCATTCGATTGTATTGGAAATATCCTTTATGTGTTGTTATTGTAAGATACTTTTTTGATTCAGGGGCAATTTCAAATTGAAGATATGCATCCTTTAAGTCAATTTTGGAAAATTTTTCACCATTTGCAAGCTGTTGTCTTAATTGGTCAAAAAGTGGTACTGGATGTAGGTGTGTTATTAATGCAGGGTTGATTGTGACGCGATAATCACCGCAAATACGAATTTGACCATTAGGTTTTACGACATTAACTGTTGGAGTTGACCATTCTACGGGTGTTATGTTAGGATCCACTTTTGTGATAATCCCTTCTTGCACTAATCGATCTAGTTCCAGTTCAATGTTCTTTTTGATACTGAATTTTACAGGACGTGGTGGAAAATGTTTTGCTTCTGTTCCCGGTTTAATGTGAATGTTGACCTGATAGTTTTTTACTTTACCAAGTTTGTTGTTGAAAAGTGTTGCGTAATTTGTTAGGATGTTTTGTAGTGTCTGTTGTTCATTAATTGCTTTAATAGAATATACAGCTTCCGGAAATTCCATTCCAAACATTTCACTCCAGTCTAATCCAAACAGCATAGGGTCTGAAGTCTTCATGACAATGACAGGAAGAATTTTTTGTTTTCCCTGTATTTCCACTGATACTTCTGTTAGTCCTCTTGGTTTAAGTTTAAAATCATTATTTCCATATGCTTTCAGAGGTGGTGAACGTTTTAATTGTGGTGATCCAATTTGTTTCCAAAATTTTGTATTTATAATAGAGAACTTCGAACCTGTATCCCAATCCATTGTACAGGGTATGCCATTGATAATGGGGTCTATTCTCTTGCAGTCTTTGTTCTTGTTAAGGTGATATACTCCTTGTTCACTACATTCGTCGTCTGTAGTAGTTGACGATGATGATGATGATGATTCATTCGCGTCTTGGTAGCGAGATGAAGTGGTGTTTTGAGTCCTTTTAATGCTTTGTGTGTGCGGCCTGCTGTCAATAAAAGCGCGTCCTGTTTTAATGCAACATGATTCGAAATGGCCGATTGTGTCACATGCTTTGCAATTATGATTTATAGCTTTGCATTCATCATTACTATGCTTCTGTTTATTTCCACATCTGAAACAGTGGTCTTTTTTGAGTTTTCTGTTTATAACTTTATTGTTTTTATTGTTTGTACGTTTATGTTTATTGTCTCTTATTCTTCTAACAATGTTATCAGATTCTGCTATCTCTCTGGATTGAGCGAAAGTAAATAGTTGTTGGAATGTGACTTCTATTAATTTTCCAGTCTCATCTTTCTCAAGCAGGTCAGGCCATCTTTGTTTTAGGTCTATCTCTAACGCTGCATGATTAAGGCCTGTTGCAAATCTATCTCGTAATTGTCTCTCTAGCAAATTGTCATATTTGCAATCCTTACTCAGTTCCTTTAGCCTGTTTGCATAATTTGTCATTGACTCGTTTTGTTGACGTGTTGCATTCCAAAAATCAGTGAGGGCTTTATACCTTGTTTTTCTAGTACCATAAAGGTCAATTAATTTAATTTTAATGTCGTTATATGTCGATGTTTCAAAATGCGGTGTGAACGCTACCTTAACTTCATGGAATATTTCAGGGCTAAGGCATGTGAAAAGTAATTGTCTCTTCACATTGTCAGTGTCTCCACCCCATATGTTACATTTGACTTCAAAGTAGTCTATGAAATTATGTATATCCGTTGTTGCGGGATTGAATTGATCGCATTTAAAATTTTTTAAGACTGTGTTTGACGATGTTGTCAATATGCTCGAGTCTGTTGCACTCGTAGTAGGGGTCTGTGACGTTCCACTTACTTGTATTACTGTTTGTGTAAGTAATTCCAGTATTTTAGTTATTTGTGTTTGTTGGTTTTGTTGTACCTTAAGGAATTCTTCCATTAATTCCGGATTCATTTTAAAATCCTCGTCGCCAATTTAATAAAATGCAATTTCACATGACAGAGTATATATTTAAATCTAAGACAGTAAAAAATGTCAGAGGTTAATATGTTTTTTAAAAAGAGTATACGATGAGGTTGTAACATATTGATTCTTAGAAGCCAATACACCTTGCTTGTTCAAATAAAATGTGACAACCCTAACAGTAAAGTTAAAAGGTAATTTTGGTCTTTTCAATGATTTGTAGAATTTCATTCAAGGCTAAAAGGCAGAAGCTTCCGTACGACGATAGATTACAAATATATTATAGAACAAAATCTTTAATAAGAAATACAAAACCTTTAACTATTATTACCAGAGGGAGACTTTGTACAAAAGTCGATTACTTGTGTACCTCTGGCCCATTCGTGTTTCAACCGTGAAGCAGCTGTGTTTACATGGCTGTGTTTCGGTTTGAAGGATGGGACATGGCGTGAATTTACTGGGTACAGAGGAATAACACCTGAGTCCTCAGGAATGGCAACGCATGGGTGGTATCATGGGCGAAACAGTTTTCTCTGTTATGTCCATAATACTGCTCATGTCTATAGGCGACGGTTACCACTTTCCATCAGGTGGACCGTCAGCTCGTTTGCCATTCTAAGTTGTAAAAAGAAATCAAACGTTTAAAAGTTAAGCTACATATTTTTTTAAAAAGATAATGGCATAGTAATTCCATTTGAATAACTGCGCCTTGTCTTAGTGTCATAATTCACATTATTCATTTTTGCTATTACTTATTATAAGGCGCTACACTATGATCCAACACAGAAACAAAGAAAATCTAACCTAACCTAGGTATTGTTAGTAATAGGGTCTAATAGCCTCATTGCTAGCAATATACCCTCTCAGATCGACCTCCACGCGGTTTCCCCTGGAAACGATCATGTTGAATTCTTTTCGAAATCATGGTGGGCCAACTGACCTGCATTTGTGGACTGGTGCCTCGTCGGTGTTAACAGATAGAGCAGGCGGGGTTACTAATATTTAATTTAAAGGCAAATATCGCTAGCCTCTGGCCTAGGCACTCTTGCCTAATAGTAAAATTTTATTTATTAGAAATCGTGGACCCACGAGTCCCATCTTAGACCATATCATCGCTTTTCTTCGTGACATCGTAATAAATCTCGAAGCTTTTTCAATAATAAAAAATCATAGGTTTAAGCCAGGTACTTTTAAGAGTAGATAAAGAGAGCCAAATACCATAGTTCTGTATATAATTATGAAAATATTCATTTAACGACATCTGTTACAATATATTTAAACTAACTTCCTAACGACGATGATGCTTCTGCTATTGAATAATCTTGAAGTTTATGTTAAAAGAATTCTAGTTTTATTACATTTCTAGAGGCCCGCTGCAAACAAAAAATAAAATAATATTTAAAATAGTGAATAATAATAATAATCTTGGATTTATATTGTAGGATTCATATTCATTCCTAAAATTAATAGAGCTAAGGTATTACAGCGACATCTAGTGGTCTAATCTTTCATTATATATTATTGTTAAATTAGTTATGAGTATATTTAACAGATGTCGCTAGTTTATAAGATTGATGAATAATGTTATAATTTGTTTTTTTTAATAAACCACCAATTTCAAAGTGATTAAAAGAAAGGGAGAGATTTTTTTGTGTTTTTCCTTTATTTTACGTAATATTTTACTTAATCCTGAGCCAGTTATGATTAAAATTTTATTTTTTTCAGTCGATAAAATTTACAGACAAGTTGATCAATATTCAAACAGCGGTTTTTTAACATTATCTTTAATGGTTTAAACTCACTTAGTTGCCATATATATAAATAATATAATATAAATCTAGGTAAATAGATCATCATCATCATCTCAACTGTTGAACACAGACTGCCCATAAACAACGGTCCTGAGCCACCTGCATCCACTGACTACCTGCAATGCATTTCGGGTCGTCACTCTATCTAGCGGGAGGTCGTCCTACACTGCATCTGCTGGTATGGGACCGCCACTCAAGAACCTTTCTTCCTCATCAGTTCTCAATTTTTCGGTAAATAGGTACATACTGATAAATTAGATAAATACCTAATTTGTGATTTACAAATTTCAAATAATACCAAGATAAATAATTAAATTTGTTGTCTTGGCAATTTATAAACCAACCGTTCATTTAGAATTAACCATATGGTTTTATCTGAAAAGTAACGTTGCGTTGGTTTGGTCATTTGGGGAGAATGGATGTAAGAAGAATTACGAAAGAGATTTATCGAGCAAAAATGAATGGAGATGTCGGTAGAGGCCGCCCTAGACGGACGTATGTTGACCAAATAGGCGACGTGCTGAAGAAGGGCCAAATTAAAAGTACCCGTAACCGACGAGCGTGTATGAAAAGATTTATGAATGTGGAGGAAGCGAAAGAGGTTTGTTTGAATCGAAGCATTTGGCGTTCCATTGTTTCTGCCTACCGTAATGGGAGACAGGCGTGACAGATATGTATGTATGTTTTATCTGATAATTTTTGTCTTCCAACTAATTTAGAGCACGCATCTTTCAGCCAACCGAACCAAAACCTTGCACTTCTTATAAACAATTTTTTTTTAAATACAAAATAGATAAAATTCGTTTGCACCTAGTACACGAGTAGTTTGTTATCTCTGTCATATTATATCCTGGATAAATAACAATTATAACTTACCTAAATAAGTCCTCAACTATAATTTCTCAGTACATATCGACAGTGCAGAATAGTTAACTATTTCATCTTCATCTATTACAAAACGTATTTAAACTTTATCCATATTCATTTATTTACGCAACTTAAAATAACAAACAAGCTGACGGCCCATCTGATGCAAACATTGGTAAGTTGCCTATACACATGAGCAGTACCATGGACATAACAGAGTATACTGTTTCGCCCATGATACCTCCCATGCGTTGCAATTCCTAAAGTCTAAAGTGTCATTCTTCTGTACCGTGTAAATTCACTACCATATCCCATCCTTCAAACTGAAACACAGACATGCAAATGCAGTTGCTTCACGGCAAATACACGAATGGGACAGAGGTGCCCAAGCAAACGTACCATTGTACAGTCTCCCTCGCCATAATTCAAATTTATAACAACATTTGAATGTACGGACACAACCGTAAAATATAAATGAAATTTGACGTGAGAATCGGTTTCAAAGACCGTTTGTTAAAAAATAGATTTAGATAATCCTATTGTGGTATTTACACGTACCGTGAATCCGTTGCCAAAAATAGTATGCAAGTAGGTACTTACGTTATCACCACGAAATATCATGGTGCGTTTAATTTTGCACACGTTGTATTGTGTTTGTTTGAAGTGTAACCACGAGTACTGTTTTTTTTTTTTTAATGGGTGAAAATTGTATGGTAACCCCGCCTGCGCTGACGGAATACACTGGCGGAGCACCAGTGAAGGGTGATAGGTGAGAATGAAAACAGGTCAGTTAGCCCATCATGATGAATTCATCAGGAATTAACCATGATAGTTTCCAGGGGGAACAGCGAGGAGGTCGACCCGGTTGGGTATATTGCTAGCAATGGGATTCTCAGTCTCCATTACTAACTGGCCTGTTTTCATTCTCATCTATCACCCTTCACTGGTGCTCCGTCAGCGTATCCCGTTAGCGCAGGCGGGGCTACCATACCATTTTCACCCATCAAAAAAACCCCAAGAGACAGGCAATTCAGCAGTGGACGGCTAAGGGCTGATATATGTTGATGAAGGCCACTAACCCTTTCCTTTCTTTTCTGCGTGTAAATGATTAAGCAATCTAATAAATGATATAGTAACAATTTCACACAGGGCAACCTAACGCCTAATTCCCTTGCGGCGAACTCTGTAATAGATACATAATGATGCAGTTTAATACCGCATTATATTGCTCTAACTGTAATCAGTGTTGGACAGTTGATGGCCGGTAGCGATATTTTGATGTAAACTCTATAAAATAAAGCCCAAAATTAAACTAAAATGGTGTAGCAGACGCCATGCGCTGATTAACAGAATATTGTGTCATACCGTGTCGTGTAGCTATGTTTTTTTAGTACCATTAGTTTTGAGTGAGTATTTATCCGAGTATTCTACTAATGATCCACCATGGATTTGCTTGGATACGTAGATAATAATAATAACCTAATCCTTACCAGAGGGAGACTTTGTACAAAAGTCGTTTGCTTGTACACCTCTGTCCTATTTGTGTTTCTATCGTGAAGTAGTTATGTTTACATGAATGTGTTTCGGTTTGAAGGGTGGGATATGATAGTGAATTTACAAGGTACAGAGAGATAACATCTGAGTCCTTAGCAATGGCAGCGCATGGGGAATATCATGGACGAAACAGTATATTCTGTTATGTTAAAATAGATTAATATTGCCTTTACGGCATGTAGTTTAAGTGAATATTTCCAAAGATATTACAGATTTAAAATGCAGGGATTTAGCGGTGTGGCGGTACTGTATTGCACCCGTGCAAAGCCCGGGCGGGTCGCTAGTTTATTTACAGGTCTCAATAAACATTTATTCTGTTCTGTTCTGTTCGTAAACACTTTACCGCGATTCTTATGTATTTTTCTAATTCCATTTACTGGCAATCCCCCTCTCCCGTTCTCTGCTTATATGGTATTTAAAATAGGCGTGTATATACTTATTAAGATTATGTATTCGGTAACAAAATTAACGAACCAACTCGAATAGCTTATTAACTGTATGCCGTAATAATTGTTAGAAGCGGTTTGATAATCCACTTACATTACGTGTTCGAGCTCAGCAAATATTACTCTGATCAGGCTCTATACGATATTTTGTCCACACGCTTGTGGATATTATATTGTAACTGTTTACACCAGGGTTTCTTAAACTTATTTTGTCCACTGTCCACTTTGAGAATAAATAATTTTTTAGCGCCCCCATTTTTTCACCTACTTAAAAACCACTGTTACTTCAAGATTAATCAATTACCCCCTAAGCATGTACACAACGCCCCCATTTTTTTCTGGGTCTCTTACTGCCCCCCTTTAGATCTGTAGTGCCCACGAGGAAGCGTTATCGCCCACTTTGGGAAAGGCTGGTTTACAGCATTTTCC